TTGGTGGGAGGAGGGATGTCCTCGACCCTTTTGGCTTCGTGGGCCTCCTGTTGAGGGGTGTCTCCTCCCCTGGTGTACCTTTTCAAGTACCCATCCTTGATGTGTATCTCGATTGCGTCCTTCAGGTGGATGCAATCTTCGGTGACATGCCCGTGGTCGCGGTGGAAGTAGAAGTATTTGGACTTGTCCATGTTGGCCTTGGGGGTGCCGTTTTAGGAAAACGGACACCTCCCTGGACAAACTCCGAGTTGCCGCACTTAGCCAGAATTCGCTCGCGGGAAGCGATGAGGGTCGTGTACTCGGTGAAGCGGCCTGCGGGGCCCCTCTGCTCTCGGGGTTCCCGGGACGATCGTCTCGTTGTCAATCTCCCCCACGCCAGGGGGTCGGTGCTCCCACTTCCCGGGCTCCATGGGGGGCTTCGCGGTTACGGGAGTCTCGGGCTGAATTAACAGCTTCTGTCTCCTCGTACCAGATGTAGTGGCGGGCTTTCTTGAGGAAGCCTCGTAGGGTGGTTGGCTGGTGGATCGCCACGACCTCGTAGAATTTGGATCCCTGGCACAGGCCTTGCTCCATGAGGTAACGCTTCATGTCGTCTGAAGTCGTCACCTGAACTGCCTCCCTCGTGAATCTCTCGATGTAGTTCTTGAGAGGTTTTTCCGGGGCTTGGATGATCGTGCCTAGGGCGGCCTCTGTCTTCGGGTGACGTCAAGGCGCTATAAAATGTTGCCAGAAGAGATCCTTCAGGACTCTCCATGATGTGATGGACTCGGGCTCCAGGCTTTTGTACCAAATCATGGATCCCTTCCTCAGCATCGTCGGGAAAAACCTGCCCTTGATGGCGCCTCGAACGTTCCGATAATCGAGCATGTCCTCAATATCTTCTAGATGGTCGTCCGGGTCTGAGGTGGCATCATAGATGGAGAGTGCGGACGGCTTCTCCATCCCGTAGGGGATGGGGGTTGCCATGATTTCCCGTGAAATGGGGGGTCATGTAGTCTTCCTTGTCACTGCGGACAAGGGAGCACAAGGGCGAATGATTATGCTGAAGGGCTTGATTACGTCCCCTCGACCTCTTGCCCGGGGCTTCCGGCCTGTTCCCTCAAGGGATCGGGGAAAGCCTCTCCTTCCAAGGAGGTGATCGTTCGCGCTTCTTGGAGGCCACGGGTTGGGGTGTCTCCAACTGTGGTCGGCGCCCCCGTTGACGGGGAGAGGGGCTCTAGGAGTCCTCGTGTTGATTTCTCTGCGGGGGAGAGCGAGACGAGGTATCCTGCTTCAGCATCCTGATGCGCTCGTTCTACTGGAGCAGCATTAGATTGGTTTGATTGATGGCTGCGAAGAGGGCAGTCATCGTTGGGTCTGCTCCAGCTAGCATGGGAACGAGCTGGAAGACATCCGGACGACTTGCTCGAGGTGCGACGTGATGTGCTGCATCCTCGGACGAAGGGGAGGCAGTCCGACCATCCCTCATGTCATCCTCACGGACGTAGGAGGGCCTAGCCTGGTCATCGCAGTTGGTGAGTGGGGAGAAAGCGGAATTGTAGACAACATCGTCGTGGCGTGGGCTAGTCATGATCTCGGAAATTGGAGTTGGAAGCTTTGGTTCTTCTGCTCAGAGGAACGGGGAAGCTTTAGATTCCCACATACGGCGCCATTGATCGTACCTGATCAGAAGAGACTGCTGGTCTGCTACACGTCTGAGTTGCCGAACTGTTGACTTGACGGACAGAGGGGGGTGAACCTGAAACACACTTCGATGCCAAAGTAAGTGACAAGCAGAGTGATAACAAGTACAGAGAGAAAGGAGTAAGAATTAGATTACCTGACCCTTTAGTGGAAGAGGGTATTTATAATGAGCCCCTAGCGCAGGGCAACGGTTACTATGCGTTGGGTTTGGTTGCCAGGCCCAGTGCCAGTAACTGTTAGGGCTGATGTGGCATCGTGAAGAGCAGCACATGGCCTTCACCTTAGTGTAACTGTTCCGCGCTATCTGGGAGGTGGAGGACCGAATAATCGGGACACAGATAGTTACCTGATGATGTGTTTCCGCGTGGGGGGCACGTTGAGAACGTGGGGGAGTATCAGAAGCAAGACAAGACCCATCGCGAGCGGATCATGGAGCTCGAGAAGATGCTGAAGGACGGGGAAGACGAGCTGGTCAGGATGAGGAGTCGGGTTGCTGAGCTCGAGGGTCTGGTCGCTCCTACTGAGGAAGAGTCCGACGAGGAGAGGTTGTTGGCTTCCCGACGGGAGCTGGTGGAGAAGATCAGGCTGCTGGAAGACGACTGCTTGGGGCCGTCGAGGTGGGCTTCAAGAGTGTTGTGGACCAGCTTTGGCTTGTCAATCCTGGTGTGGATCTGGTGACTGAAGGGACTGACCCCTATCATCAGGTCCAAGGCGACCGCATTGTTGCACCCGGCGGATCCGAGGACGAGGAGGAGAACCACACTGATTAGTATTACATATTTTACCAACTACTAATTATGTTCAAGTTCATTCATTGGTCATTGACAATTAATTATTATCTGTCCTCAACAGAGTATAATAATTGTGCTATGTTTCATAGGCAAATGTAAGTGCTTCTCTTTTTCCAAAAGTAAAGCACTTATATCCTTAGTCACAAATATAAGTTTGATTCGGCTAGGCAATTCAAATTTATGAAGGTTTGGACTCTATATGATAGATGCATACAACTGATTACTAATAATTGGATAACTATTGTAGTTGGTTGCTCTATGTTTGTTTTAGATGCTAAGTTGAGATCTCTTTAACATATTAAGAAATGGTACAAAGAGATATTTGGAAATATTCATCTTAAAGTCACTCAACCTATTGATAAAGTTAACAAAATATAAATTTTGATTAATGGCGCAAGTTAAAATGTTGGTCTTAGATTGGAGGAAAAAATGTTTTAAGGATTTAAGGATGTGGATAGAAATACAAAGTTTTTTCACAACACAATCAAATTGAGATATGCTAGTAACAAAATTTTTAAATTGAGCCGATACAATATTTAATGTGTTGAAATAGATGATCATGTTATTAAATTCTACAAAAAAAATTATTTAGCTCAGAAAACAATTGCAATTATACTGACTAGCGTCTAGACGGATACTCTTGTGTCCGTCTGTCCGCTTTTATTAATGTACATATGAATCAAAATATAAACGGTATTTTTTGTATATTTATTTTTTATTTTAATTAAATTATTTATAAAATAATAAAAAATAATATAATGAAAGAGATATGCAAATTACCTATAGCTGTTAATAAAAGAGAAGTTGAAATTTAATAAAAGAATTGAAAAGAAAAAAAAATTACACCAAAAATAAATGTTGTCTTTATATATAATTATAGAAGTTATAGATATAGTGGAGAGAACTATTCTGCAACTTATAACTCGGGCCGATAATTAATATCTCATTAGAATGCCTAACCGGAGGAAAATAATAATGCATTGCATAATATGAATGGTAGATTTACTTCAGACGCTGATGGCTTTGATAATGTTATTTCCAATTTTATTGAGATATAATAGGAACTGATGTAACTTGTATTATATTTCACATAAAAATTGATGACTCAGTTAAAAAAATCTCTTTCTTCCTTGAAGTTAGGAGTTTGAAACCTCCTCCCCCCTACAACTTTATTTTTCAAATTATAATCCATTAAAATGTTTGCGTATAGTATTTAATTATGAGTAGTGATCAACTTATTAAAAAGTAAGTTTTTTTATAATTAAATAGGCTTTTACAAACTTAAGCTTGACCTATATATATAATTTATTCTTTCAATAAGTAGATAATTAAATTTAAGTTTTTTATTGTTTAATAAATATAATAATTTATATTTTTATTGAAATAAAAAATAATTATAAATGGGATAAAATTTTAATTATGCCACATAATTTAGTCAAATCATCAATTAAGTTACTTCTTGAAAAAAGAGACTCAAATATTCTGTCTCCTAAAATACTATAAGATTTTGAACATTTCACACTAATTAAAAAATATAATAAATAAATGGTAGAGGGTGTATTAGAAGAGAAAAAAATCATTAATATCATATTTGAATTATAAAAAAAAATTGAAACAAATATTGTTTACAAAATAATTTATAATTTAAGAAAAAGGTATTGGATTTAAAAATGAAGGAATTAAAATTTTTTTAAAAATAGATGAATCAAATTAAGTCAATATTAAATCTTAGTAAATCATATTCATTTACCTCGGCTAGTATAGATTAATAACCTACTTTTTTTCACACAGAACTCAATAAAATATCACCTATTTTCATGAAGAATATTAAATTAAATCTTTACTCAAAATGAAATTTAATTTTCTCTCCACTCATTTTTGTTGTACTAGAAACCTCACATTAATTACTACAAATGTAGGGTGGTGTATACAAAAAATCCAACCTAAAAATATACAAACAAAATTGTTTGCAACCATCCATCATGCTTATGATTCAATCAATTTTTTAAAATTTTCGTATCATAATGACACATACAATTGTAGTATCTTCCTGTCATGTCATGTCGATATCTGTCTACCAAGTACTAAGTACAACACTATTGCTTTATTTGTTTTTATTCAATTATTGATCATCTTTTACATGCATTTGTATACTTCTAAATTCAACATACCAACTCTTTAAATTTAACTCTCACATAAAAAAAATTAGTAATTCCTAAAATTTAATTCATATCTCACATTTTATATATATTTTTGGGTTTAATACAGATATTCTGAGTTCGAACTCGTAACAAAAAAAAAAAAAAATAGGACATAATATATTTAGAACTTTTCATCACAAAATCAAAAGACAAACATCATTACAAGCTAATGGCACTACATAGCCTAACCCAAAAAAAAAATATTCACAAATAGAGTACCTAAAATCCAACTTCATGTAGTTCACATTTTTGAAGTTGTTGAGAAAATTCCATAAAATCAAGCACCCTCAAACCAAAAAATAAAAATTACTATACTAACAAGTTACTAAATCACATGAGTTTGTTGATTCTCTTCCCTATTATGTGAATCTAAACTCAACAATGTCTCTTCAATCTCTAATGAAGAATTAGGTAACTTGCATTTCATTTTCTTCAACTCCTCATTTGAACAAATGAAAATCTTTTTCACCATGTTGCAAAATTCCCTGCACATAGTCAAACATGTCATAATCAAACATGTACATCATCATTGAAAGCTTATGTATGTATGTATGTATGCATGCATGCATGTTACTTACTGCCATGGATCATCACCAACAAGCATCATGTCATTTTCATTATCAGTGAAAGTAACTCTCCATTTGTTTTGAGAACGTAACTCTCCTTTAATATCAAACAGTTTCTCAACTTCATCAATGAGTTCATCATAACCACTTAACATGCTCAAATCGAGTGCGCGACCAACCGCTACGCCTTGCATTTGCACCTTTTCAAAAGAATAAAATAATTTAAGCCGTAAATCGTCAATTTACTCGTTGACATTATAGAAGACTTGAAAAAGTTACCGCGTGAAAAGTAATGTAACCAGACAGACCAGACAGACATTTAGTCCATAAAGTTACCGCAATTTTTACATTATTGGAGGCTGAAAAAAAAAGTACCTTAGTCCTTGTTCTCATGGAAGGTACATTGGCCAGCTTGTTCTGCCATTCATTTGTTGATGTATCAGAAATAATTTTCTTCTGCTGCCCTTTGGAGGACAGTGAATAGTTGGGACTCTGAGCCTTTTCAGTTTCACATGCATTTGTAAGGATAATAGATTCTTTGGGACCACTTGTAGTAACAACGGTTAATTTTCGAAATCCTTGTTCTTTCTCTAAACAAGAATTAACTATGTTGTTTGGTTTGTTGTTGTTGTTTAAGTTAACTCCGAATAACCAACAATCTAGGGGGTTTGTGTTCTTTTTCACGTCTTCGACTCGTTGATGATCGCATGTAGGGCCGTTGAGGCCGTTGCTTGGTTTAGATGCAATGTTTATGTTAGCATAAGGGTTTGAAGTGAGATTCAAATGCGGTGAATTAGGCCAAATTGCTTCCGCCGTGACTCTAGAGGTTGTTATAATCTGATTCTCGTTGGTTTGGACTTCGGCGGAACCGGATAATTGAGCAAGCTCGTGAGCTTGGGACGATTTGGGATACCAAAAACCTGGTGAACGAGAAAATACTAACATAACCAACTGATATGCTAACAACGTTTAGAGAATTAGTTAGAATAATGTTTTTGTACCGCAAGATGAAACGTCGGCGGGTCGAGATCTTTTGCTCTTGATTGATGTTTGAGTGACACTCAAAGGAGGAGAAGCTATGAAAGGTTCTATCTCCCATGAAGAAACTCTCTCCGGTCTTGGAATTGTTGCTGGTTCATCCCATTGAACCTATGCGGCAAAGAAAAATTTATCGATGAAATCGAGATAACCCGATTAATTGAAAAGGAAATAAAGATATGAAATTCAGATTAAAATTTAACCTTCAATGATCTCCAATGAGAATTTGACCATCCTGTAGACAAATCTCCAACACCAATAATAGTGCCAGAAAATCTGACCAAATAATCACTTAGCAATAAATATCAATTTACACCAAAGGTGAGAGATTCTGACAACAATAATGATTTTAAGTGAGATTGTGTAGAAGCGCTTATGAAAACAGCTTAAATAAGCTATCATAAATGATTTACATCTTATTTCCATAAGCACTTATGCAATTAGTGTTTGTCCAAACATGAACTAAATGTTAACAAGAATACCTTCTTTCAGGCGTGTCTTCTCCTTCGAATCTCATCTTGAATCTCATACCAACCGAAAATTTACAATTGTTTACGGCCTCCAAATACTTGTTCAAGCCAACGATAAATTGACTAGTCCTGGAAATGTTTAAGACAAAGTTAAAAGCCGCATATAAACGGTTAAATTCTAAGCTAACAATGATACCTGAAACAAATAAGGAAAAAATTACACACCTTGGTTTGTAATAAACGACAAACAAGGTACGAGTCATAACAGCATGAGAAGCCGTGGCGAGAACTCCAAGATGCATGCTTTGGCTTGATATTACAGATGAAGGCATGGGATTGTGCTGCTTAGCCATGCGCCGAACACCAACTCTCAGTTGCCCGTGTTCTCCCCTGACACGAACGATCAAGTCAAAACCGAAACTCAAATATCACATTGAGCAGCTTAAAACATCGAGAGCATCAAAACTTGAACGAATACCTTAGAAAAACAAATGCATCTCCGGCGACCAATCTTTTGGATGCGACAAAAGTACTCCAACCGGTTGTAAGCAAGTGTCTTCTCGGTTGGCCTAATCACATTAGTGGAAAGATATAAGAACCGTGTTGCAATCATTTTACTTCCGAAGCAAATTGTAGTATCCGTTCATTCAATAATTTGAATATGCAATTAGAAAGCTTCATTCGAAATTACCTCTATATATGTGCTTAAACTTCCACTCAAATCCGTGAAGATCCTTTGCAGCTAACTCCTGAGTAGGAGTTGCTTGTGTCATGTCCTACAATTTACATTAGAAATTAAGAAAACCGAAAAAATCAACTGCATAATCCAGAAGAAACTCGGTAAGGTACTACCAATGGTGGCAAGCACTCGGTAGCATGCTTCCTCAGAACCGAAAATCCTCCATGTGTACTAGTATCAGAAGCAGTTAATATTTTGCAAAACGAGTGAAACTTTTGTTTCGGAGACTCGGGAGGATTTGGATCAGGCTCTGCAGGTTCAGTTTGCTGCATAGAAAAACAAAAATTATTTTCAAAAACAGTGAAAAACTTTTGAAACCTAACTTTCAACATGGAATATATTTCTTTAGCACTAACTATCTTTTTCAGTAACAGACAAAAAAACAAAACTGAATAAGATAAGCAAAGAACAAGAAATTCATCTCAGAAAATGTAATCTCACATCTGATTCCGGAAGCAAAGCAACACAAGCATAAACCTCATCAGTTTCTTGTTCCGCCTACACAAAAAAACCAACAAGATTCTATTGTAAATACACACAATGACATGCAATGTAAACAACAAGAGGAATCAAACAACAGTACCAACAACTGAATGTTGACAACTCGGCATAAAATCTTGGACGGAAGATTGAAATGAGGAATTTCCTGGTTCAGTTCCTGATCAGTAGATGCTTGAAGCTGCAAACAAAAAAATACCCAAAAGGCTAAAAAGTTTGATATGCAAGTACAACAAGAAAAGTGATTTGGTTTAGACAAAAATTGAATACAAAACACAAAACACAAAAATGGCAACAACATAAAAAAGGGTCAAAGAAAAAACCATACTTGTTCCATGTGACCTTGAGGAAAGTAGAAAACTCTGTCACCAGTGTTTGGAACATCCACCAAAGGTCCTGCACACAACTTCCATAACTCTTCATACAAATCATTTTTAACACCTACAAAAACACAAAAAATTCTTAATGCCCTTGATTTGTTTCTGAGAAAGTTCAAAACTTTAATCTTCAATTTCACTTCTAAACCCTCCTCTAGTTTCCTCCATGTTCAAAAGGTAAAAGGGTCGCTCAATTTCACTTTTTTTCATCAAAAATATAAATTTAAAGAAAAAAAACACAATATTAGAAAGTTGCTAAAAAAACACAAGCATTTCCTTTGTGTTAGAACATTCTAAGTAACCAAAGAGAGTAATGAAACATGAAATTGAAACCACAAATCATTAACCTTTTTCTTGTTGAGAAATTCCTGGGGCCCTTAGATTACACTCAAGATGTGCCATTCACCAACAATAGTCACAGAAACACCAACAACAACAACTAGAGAAGAAGAACAAGAACAAGATGAAGAAAAAGAACCTCCTTTGAAGCAGACACAAATAGATTACTCATGTAAGAGAGAAATGATGAGAGTTAAATGCAAGTAAATGACAAAATTTGTGACTATCTGTAACGACTAATAAGGCTATGATGATGTTTCAAGTTTCTTCAGTTACAGAAGAAGAAGAAGAAAAAACACATAGTTTTGTGTTTCATGTGATGAAAGAAAGAATAGTTTTTTATGATGTTTTTTTCTTCACTTGTGTTTGAAGCTGTGAAACAAAAACCAAAACCAAAATCAACTTTTTGAGTTTTCTCTTTGCTTCCTTTAGGTGATGTCGTTGTCTCTGATTGCTTCTCCCAAAAGACCTGAATCCACGTTACCAACTTGCCAACGTTGTTACCTTTTTCTGCTCTTGTTTCATTTCACAATGTTGCAGTTTCACAGTGCTCTCTCTCTCTTTTTCTCTCTCTCTAGAGTCTATGGTCCTATAGGTCTATAGATTCAGCTTAGCCTACTGCAACTTATTCTCTTTAACTCTTTAACTCATTGGTCACTGTATTATTTTTTTACCCTAAGGTTAAATGGACATACAAAATTTGAATCCTATATAAGATGAAACAAATAAATCATATATTGATGAAAAGATTAATTAATTATAGTTAATCACAACTATGTATTTAAGTCATATTTATATTAACTAAAACTATATATATTGACAAATATTGATAATGATAAATATTGGTTTTAAGTAAATTTAGATAAAAATTATTTTATGTAAATATATTTTATATGAAAGTCAATTGGAAAATAAAATTTATATTTAAAATTAAGATAAAAAAAATTTTAATTTTAATTTTAGTTTAGAATAAATTTATGTTTTTATTTTCTATAGTGGTTTTTTTTTGTCACTTGATGAATTTTCAAGAAGAGTATGAGTCACATTTTGAAAAATAAAAATAATTATGTAGTGTTATATTTGTGAAAGTTCTTAATAAGGGTGACGAAAGGGTTTCCACCTCAAGAGGTGACGTTTGGGTACAACTTTTGCTTAATAAGGGAGTTGAACCTCTTAATAAGAAACGTGCACAATGACATTATCCTTCCATCGGTTATGCAAACTAAGTCATACCATAACTTCCTGAAGAATAGGTAGTCAACAACCTCCCTTGGTCAAGGGGGCGGTTACCATCTCTTAGAGCATCTTTAGTGTGAGTATCTTAAGTGGGTAAACTAAGATATTTTTTGTGTTCCCAAAGTGATTTGTAGGATTTAAAACTTATAGTTGATTTGAGGTGTTTTTACTTTAATGATAGTTGCTTATAAAAAACTAAAATTTGACCATATATTTTATATTTTTTACTTTAATAATAATATAAATAATAATATTATATGTTTCAAAATAAATAACATACGTTAGCTATATAATTGTCGGAAACTAAAAATTAGTGAATTAAATGTCATGTCATAGTCATTCCAATGCAAATTCTTTATAATCATCGTTAACTATAAAAAAATTTAACTATTAAAAACCTGCATTAAAGATGCTCTTAGGGTTTTCTATATCTTAGGCTCAATGGCCTTTATAAATACTTATTCTCTAACGGGAAAGAGATAAATTGTAACTTACACACAAATCCTTTATACCCTGAGCACAACACTTACATACAAAGTCACTCTCATCTCACGTGAGTTGCCCCACCAAAACCACCGAAAACGTTGTAACACCACCATATAGGGCATTTCGCCATGCGGGCAAACCCTAACCACCCTAAGATATTACAAACCTACTAAGGAATATGATTATCTCCTACCTTTGTATGGATACCACGCACACTTATACTTTTTAACCAATATAGTGGCGCCCATCATGGGCTATGGTAAAACTAACTTGGATCACACCTTTTTCATTACAATTATTATACTCAATGCTGCCCTCCAATCTTATACTTAGCCACCTTCATTTGTGATTAACAAGAGAAGTCCATCCCTTATGACGGAGGATACCAGTGTTAGTTGTGATGTCAACGCCCTGGGGGAGATGCGTGCCGCCACAGACAAATTGTGTCCAAAACCTCCTTCATGTCGAACCACGGTAACTACTACTACTATTATAATGTCATGCCTTTCAGCCCCAAAAATGCTGGCGACACATACCAGTGACCCATGGACACATTCTTCACCCATCATATTAGGCGAAATCTTGAGGTATATGGCGAAAACATGATTGTCAAAACGGCGAATGAGGCATAGTCACGCGGTTACCACCTCATAGGGGTTTCTATGTCTTAGGCTCAATGACCTCTATAAATACTTTTCCGCTAACGGAAAAGAGATAAATCATAACTTACACACAAATCCTTTATACCTTAAGCATAACACTTACATACATAGCCACTCATATCACATGAGTTGGCCCTCTAAAACCACCGAAAACATTGTAACGCCGCCCTATAGAGCATCTCGTCATCCGGGCAAGCTCTAACCACCTTAAGATGTTACAAACATACTAAGGCATATGAGTATCCCATACCTTTGTATGGGTATCACACACACTTATACTTTTTTACTAGTATAGTGGCGCCCACCATGAGGCTCTGGTAAAACTAACTTCGATCACACCTTTTTCATTACAATCTTTATACTCACTGATATCCTCCACTCTTATACCTAGTCATCCCCATCCATGATTAACAAGAGAGATTCATCCTCTATGATAGAGGATACCAATGGTAGATGTGATGTCAATGCCCTAGCAGAGATGCGTGCCACCATGAACGAACTGTGCCCAAAACCTCCTTCATGTTGAACCATGGTAACTACTATTACTACTACTATAATGCCATGCCTTTTAGCCCAAAACCGTTGGCGCCACATACAAGTGACTCATGGACGCATTCTTCACCCATCTAATTATGAGAAATCTTGAGGTATATGGCGAAGACATGATTGTCAAAACGGTGGATGAGGCATAGTTACACCGATCACCTGAAGGACATCCTACAATCAGTAAGAAGGTATGCCATTCTCCTAAATCCCTCCAAATGCTTTTTGGAGTACAAGCATGGAAATTTATGGGTTTCATGCTGACAATGAGGGGGATTGAAGCCAAACCAAATAAGTGACAGGCGACCATTGGTATGAGGATCCCTACTAATGTAAAAGAAGTTCAATATCTTACTGGACGCCTCGCCGCCATGTCTCGCTTCCTCTCCTATGTAGGTAACAAAGCTTTCTTTTTCTTCTCTGCCCTAAGGAAAAATGAGAAGTTCGAATGGACCGTCGAGTGTGAGGACGCATTTCATCTATATCTTGAACCAACTTGTGCATGAATGTTATATAATTGCATGATTCAAGCAAACAAACTATAAAAATCTATCAAAATCATGTGTCTCTCATCAACTTATTATTCATGAGTCATTATGAATCTCTCAAAGTCACTAAAAGTCCATTTGAGTCATATTTTTGAAGTTGTGAAGTCTTCAGGTCGACACATTTTCGTATAGTCGACCTATGCAAATTAATTTTTGTATTTTTGAAAAATGTTACAGTACAGGTCGACATGAAATATTTTAGGCCGACACATATTTAAATTTTCTGAATTTCTTGATATTTTGCTTCAGTATGTGTCGACCTATAACTTGGACAAGTCGACACATACATTTTGAGGTCGACTCATAAGTTTAGTTCTGGGATATTTCACCTCATATTTTCTTGTTCCTTGCATGGTCACCTACCCCAAACATCTCAAATCGAGTCCAACAAGTCAAATTCACCAAAATTTGTGTTTGTTTTTCATCTTATCATCACTACCTCATCATTTGTTCTCAAAGTTTTCCATCATATCCTTCACAATTTCATCTATTCTCTCCATTTGGTTCTTTAAACTCCAAACACATTCTATCTTCTCTAAACATAAAACTCCTTGTTGTTTGTTGCTTGTTGCTTGTAAGTGTTTCTTAGTGTTGTGTTCTTCTTGTTCCTTGTGTTGGAGTGTGTGGGTACTCATAGTTCTGTCATTCTCTCACACTCTTCATTTAAACTTTTTGATAAACACTTGGTGTACACATTCTATTTCAACAATTTCATGGCTTCCAAGTCCAAAAGTTGGGCTAAGGGAAAGAACAAGGATTCTTCAAAACACATTACAAAATGATATCCATATCCATTACACAAAATGTCAGCATTTCAAAATGACATCCATAACCATAACACAAAATGAAAGTAAGTGGTTCCAAATATCAATTAAGACCATTAAACAACAAAACTAAATGGTTCCAAATACACTTAAGACTAAGTGGGTACAAATACACTTAAGACCATTAAACAACATCTAAAATACACCTAATATTTTTTCTTGGGTGTGGTCGTCTTAGTTGGAGTTGTCCTCCTTGTGGTTTGGCCAATCACATTCTTGGCAGCACCTAGCATTGTAGTAGGTCCAGGAGGAACAAAAAGTGTTGATGACCTCCTAACACCCAACTTACTTGGCCTTTTAGTGTTGATTGTTGAGTAGCAGATGTGCCTCTAGTTCTTGGCATTTGAGAACCTTGTGTGCCTCCAATAGTTGATGTTGCCTGACTTCCTTATTTTCTAACAACTAATGTTGCCTGCTTAGAACCTTGTGTTTGTTGAGTACCTTGAGCAGTTGGTTGAGCACCTTGAGTAGATTTCTTAGAACCTTGTGTTTGTTGAGAACCTTAAGCTTTCTTGGTGTCACCTCACATGTTGATTTGTTGTGCCCTGGTTGCTTGCACCTAGAACACCTGATTGAAAACCCCGTCCTCCTCATTTTTTTCAAGTCTCATCCAGCTCCCCTTGCTCAAGATTTCTTCTCTTCTTTGGTCTTCCAGGAATCCTTCTATATTTAGGAGGCTGCACATCTGGATATTTTGTTCTAACCTAGAGATTTGATTCATTTACAAGATAAATCATAGGTGAATAGACCTTCATGTACATTGA